GAATTTTCCGAGGACGTTAACTTTTCATGTAAAAAAAGTGCCAGTGACCGCTATTGCAGGAGAGTTTACCGCTACTCGTTTTCTCTGTTGAAATCTCAAACTCAATTTGGAAGGGAATCAATACGAGGCTAAACTGTGCACTGATTACTGAAAAAGTTTTGCGTCTGTATGTTCCTGATTCCTGTCTTTAAACATGTTCAAGTTTTGTCAGAATGATCAAAGAACACAAAAGGAGAACAAAGGGAGCCTTCTTGTTGTGGAATTCAATTACAATTCACAAAATACACAATTGGCCTCGTAGTAGTTTTCGAGAGAAATTTAAAAAACGTTCAAAAAATCTGAAATTAGATTATACCGAAAATAATCATTTTAAATGTTACAAAAAATCTGGTCGCAGCCGCTTATGGAGTAGATTTTCCATCCTGCTTTGTTCAATGAATACAAAAGCTCAGATTGGGTAGGTTTCTTTATGACAAAACGACTTAAAAAAACATTGGTCAAATATTCCCCCACAGACTTTTTCGATGGCTGTAGACAAAGGGGTAGAGCAAAAAGAGACCAGGGGAGTTTACAGGCACACGAAAATGTAGGCGGTCTTTCCATAGATACATTTTTTTGTAGGAAGGCTCTAGAGAAAAATACTTATTTGCAAAAACTGATGATAATTTCCAAAGCTTCTCAAAAAAAATAAAGAAGAAAAACCCAATCGATTTTACTTTTATAATACCTATTTTAGAACAGCAGGAGTTCTAGGCAAACAAGCCATGCAGAAAATCAAATAAGTTACAATCCTTACCCATTGGAAACAAGGCCGACAATCTTTGAGCAAACACCAGAAACAAAAACGGAATTTTTTTGTTGAAAAAATTCAAAATTTCTAAATCAAATGAAATCACACTGTAGTCACTAGTACTCACCAAAGAGTTTGGTTTAAATTCTCATAAAATCGAGCATGTCAGCTGAATAGCAGCATCATATGAATCACCGATTTTATTCAACTAGTTGTTAACCCGAAAACAGTCTACATTCCGATTTGATAACGCTTGCTAATCGCGAGCGTAATTATATTTTTAAAAGTAATTGTTTGATATTATATATCAATGAAATTTTTTTTTTGTGATGTTACAAACCTACTTTCTTGGCTAATGTTGAGCAGAAAGTGCTACATTTTCCCTCAAGCAACTATTTGGGCGGCCATTTAACTACTTTCAACTCAATTGGGGATAATTTGGCAGTGAGAGTATTTCCTCGAGTTAGTTTCGCACTGATAAAGCTTTGAATATTTTGCGCGTATTTTTTTTTTAGCTCAAACTAGCCAAATTAATCACAAGTAACTTTTTTTTCAAGTTTGTGCTGAAGGCGTCAATATTTTGGCGATACAAAAAAAGTTTCTTCGAAATACCAAAATTAACGTCGAATAAAGTCTGAATAAATTAACCAACCCAAGCGCATTCCCTCACTTCTATCAAAAGTTGAAACAAAAACAGGATTTTTCTCAAATTATTTGTAAGTTATTAGCTGTATTAATGTGTTCAATTAGCATATTAAAGTTGATTTTATAGGTGTGAGCGGCGAATCACATCGAAGCGAGGCAGTTTGAACATAGACCTAATGTCAGTTACGTGTTTATTGAGGTTTCTTAAACGTTTTGCAAATATTTGAGACATCTTAAATTTAAATGTAGTCTCGCTTTTTATGCGCATATGAAGAAAACAAGACTGCTCGTATCAGGGCCAAGCCTTGAATGTTCCGACTGCCTTTTAAGGTTTTATGGAGCAGTAATAACATTAACAACTGAATGTAATAAAATAAAATGATTTTTTTTTTAATTTGAATTTTTTTTATGAAAATCATCCCCCACACGCCATTTAAAGTACAAAAAGATATATTTAGCTCCTTGCTACAAATCAATTATGGCAAATAAGCTTCTTTACACCAATTTGGAACGATTTTAAGACGGATTAACTCTCAGCTTACGCGTTAATAGCGCGAAATATATCGCGCGTTTATTGTCCCAAATTGACCAAAATGGCAATCTTTAAACCCCCATAACTTTACGAAAAATGATCACAGGTAAAATATCTTTTCAAATTTAAGCTCAGGACAACAATAACTTTCGAATGATATAAAAAATTCCGTCAAAAATGGCTAGTTAAAAAGTTGAGATTTGTCTGAAGAAAAAAAACCCACCCCGAGCATAAATATTCCGTTACTTTCGTATCGAAAGTCGGAACAATAACTTTCGTTTTATCAATATGAGCGAGCTTGGATCGCACACTTTCAATTAAAATCTTCCATGAGAAATCGATAGAGCTAAGCTGACTCGCAATTGTACATAAATTAATCCCAAGCTAATTGCTAGAGAACTGGAAAAAACAACTGTGCAAAATGAATAAATTATTCATTGTTCCGACCATTGAACACAAGGAGAAACTACCCAAAATCATGTACTATAAATAATAGTCAAAAATGGTTTTATCCCCTCTACAACATGAAATGTGTCTCATGTATTGACAAGATACGAGAAAAAATTGTTCGTCGCAACAGTTCAGATTGTAAGTTTTAAGCTCACCGCAAACGCTACGCCTCAAATTTGATTTTTTTAAAAACTTTTTAATTGAGATCTAGTAACAGATTTGTTGCTCCGACTTTAAAAAAAAGACTGCTCGTATCAAGGCTATGCGCTGAATGTTCCGACTGCTTTTTAAGGTCTATGGAACAGTGATAACTTAAAAAAAATAATTGTAAAAAATAATCAAAAATGAGGTTTTTTTCTGAAAATCATTCCTCCGCATGCCATATAAAGTAGAAAGTGCTAGATTACGCTCCTAGGAACCACTAGTTATGGCAATTAAGCTTCTTTCAACCAATTTGGAATAATTTCTATGACGGATTAAATCCCCGCTTATTAAATTTTTCAGTCATGGTGTCGACTGCCCACTAATCGGTCAGATGTAGTTTTGGAGATATATTCCACCCACCCGCAAATATTCCACCCACATGGATATTTTCCACCCACACTCAATTTTTAGTGCAGTATGATACAGTTTGCGTTTGTTATTGCCATCCTTGAATCACTTAGCATTGCTTAATTCGAATTCGACTAATTTCTCAGCAGGCTTATTTGCCGCTAACGTTATGCCGATAACGCTTAATTTAATTATCCCAAATTGGCCAAACATGCAATTTTCAAAACTCCATATTTTCTTGAAGAAAAAAAAACGATTGCGGCAGATATCTATTTTTTTAAATTTGAACTTGTGGCCTTAATGCTTTCATGGTTTTGATGAACTACTTTCAGATGGCATAAAAAACACCGTTCATAGGCGCCTGGTTAAATTGCTTGAAGAAAAGGAAAAAAAAACTATAGCGAGCTTGTGGAGAGCCAATAGAGCTCGAAATTAAAATTGAGTAATTAAACAAAAAGTCAAAATTTTCGGCAAAATAAGGTTCGGCCAAATGACCCTCAGCAAAATGTTCAAAAATTTTAACCCCCCCGCACCGGAGTTCCATGGATAATAATCGATTATAATGGAAAAATGTTGTCTAAAATGTTGTCATTATAATCCATTATAATCCATTATAATCCATTATTGTGGCAAATTTAGACCACGTAATCGATTATGTGGTCATATAAATCGATTTTTTTGAAAAATAAAAATCCATTATAATCCATTATAATCGATTATAATCCATTATTTTTGTCACTGAAATCGATTATTTTTGCCAAAATAATCCATTATAATCCATTTAATTTTTAGAACTAAATTCGATTATTTTTGCAAAATATTGCAAAATCTGCGAGAAATTTGCAGAATTTATGCCATGTCTTTTACTACATGGCATGTCTCAACGTCATCCCCTCGCCCCCTCAAGCTTCCCCCTCCCCATCAGCGTAAGGGGTAGGGTAAACTGGGGGGGGTTTAAAAAAAACTGGGATAAAAAAACTTATGATTATTATCCATGGAACTCCGGTGGGGGAAGCTATGAAAATCTAATTCAAACCCCTGAAATTTTAGTTTTATTAGGATTTTGGTAAAAAAAAACAGTGAAATGAAGTGTTAGTTAAACTGCGATGAATTTAAAAAGTAGAGACAAAAAAATGTAAATTTTATTCTGAAATGTTACATTTTATGAAACGTAATTCGTAGCAACTGCACTAAACAGGAAATGAGATAATTTTGAACAAAATTGTAAATTTCAAGAATAACCCCTCGAAAAAATCCATTATAATTGATTATAATTGATTAAAAATGGATTATTTTGCCTCGAAAACAAGTTTCATTTTCTTTCAAAAATAATCGATTATAATCGATTATAATCGATTATATTCGGATTTTATTGATTAGAAAAATAGTTTCATTATTATCCATTTTTAATCGATTATAATCGATTATTATCGAAATTTATTGAGACAGACCACGAAAGTTCAATATAATCGATTATTATCCATGGAACTCCGGTGCGGGCCCCGTTTGTAAAGTTTAATCCAACTTAAAACAGATATATATATATATATATATATATATATATATATATATATATATATATTTGGATCTACTTAACAATCCCCCTTTTAGTACAAGGGAGAGTGCGATTGTTAAGTAGATGAAATCAGCAAACTTTCGACCAATCAGACTGCAGAAAAATTCGAAATTTAAAAACAACGCTCTAGTCTTAACTGACTGCTTTTATTTATAAGGGTGGCAAATCTTTAGTAGATACCATAGGGGGCGATTGTTAAGTAGATCCTTTTTTTGTGTAGCGGTGGTGAAGTGGTTACGTCTCCGCCTCTCAATCGAAAGGTCGGATGTTTGAGGCCCACCATGATCCGTGCTCGTTGCTTGAGGGTGACCAAAAAAATAGCATGTAGTTCTTAAACAGGGCCACAACAGCGGTTCGCCGTGATGAGCTGTACAGCTCTTGCGTTGGTCCTTTCCGCCGTGGATAAATGGTCTTAATCTTAATCTTCAATGCCATCAGTGTGTTCTGTATTCTAGGCTGCCAGCTGTACAACTCAATGGACGTAGCGTGTATGTCTTTTTCAGTCAATATTCTGGTCATCATGTCGTTCGAAAGATACATCATGATCAAACGACCCATGGAACGGCAGACTATCAAATTCTACAGGGCCATTCTAAAAAGCGCAGTCGCTTTTGTCATTGCCATCGTCATATCCGCTCCCATGTTTGTGATCAGCGAAAAAATCGTATTCCAAGTTGCAGCTCCTCCCGAACCCGCTACTAACCATTCGGAAATCGCAGAAGTTTCGGATAACGTTACCAACGAGACCGTCGAAATAGTGCGCTGTGTTGCGGGAATAAGCTACAGGTCCACGCAAAAATACTACGAAGCTGCGATATACTCGGCTATTTTTTTCGTCCCTGGGGGGTTGATTACGACCTGCTACGCGCTGCTGGTTAAGTCGTTCCGACGCAATGCTCAGTACTTCGGAACCAGTGGCTCGGCCCATAACCCGAACAACGGCGTGACCGAAATGCGAGTTCGGCAAATCAAACGACTATCACGAATGGTTTTGATCATCATCGCTTGTTTCATGTTCTGCTTTCTGCCTTTCGGCACTTTGAGACTGATTCAATTCGTTCACCCGGTTCGGACTCCGCCATGGTTATTTCACATGTTGATCACGATGACATACTTGAACGCATGTATGAACCCAATTCTGTACACATTCCTGAGTAACAGGTACCAAAACAGACTGAAGAATCTGAAGAATAGATGTCACGTGATTCTGGTCCGACTGCTGCCGTGTTTGGCCATGCCCCCTAATCATCATCAAAATCGAGGGTACCAATTGGGCCATAATTCTCACGCAGTGGCGCGTAAAAAACTGAGCGGCACAATGGCGCATAAAACTGCGGTCTCACAGCTGTAACTGCTGCGGCTTCATCGTTATAAATCAGTTATAATTTTCATCAAAAGTCTATAAAGTTTTATTTAATTATTTGTCACTCCATTATGAATTATTATTTTTAACAAAAATGCCAAATTATTCTTTGCGCTGTTTATGTTTTGTGTGTATTTTAGAAAGTATATCTGCTACTCTTAGTTATCACTTAACCCCCGTGTGCGCAGATTGCTCAGCCACCCCCCTTCCCCCAAACCAGACCCCCTATTTATCCGCCAGGTACTTTGCTTTGGATGTTGTTAGCTGATAATATTATATTACACCAATATTTTGTTATATCAAATACTTTTACTCAAATATATTCCCGTCAGCTCAAGCGAAAAATAAAATTTGTCAAAATCGATGTCAAAAGCCCAGTTACGAGTGTTCAATTTGGGTTGAAAAGGTTGTCTAAATTTAGTAATTTGTAGATTTAGTTTCCTTTTCAATGTGCTTTTAAGATCTAAATAAGGGTTTTCTGTGGTCGCTAAAAACTTCATCAGCAAAACAATTTTGATGAACTAGATGTTATTTTTAAATCTTGTTTGTCTTCTTCGCCCTTAATTGTCTAATTAGTCATTAGATAATCAAATTTTACCTGCGCTGATGAATTAGTAGATTGAATGTTTTTCTTGAATAAAATTTTGATCAAAAACGAATTCCAGTTCATGAAGTTCAGTAAATTGGTTTCAGCGGGGAATTGCTTTTTAATTGAAAACAAAAACATCGGTTGATTGAGTTGAAAATGCGCCAATCAATCATCCGTCTTCCATGCTTAAATTGAGCCCAAAAACCAACTGACCGACTTGAAACTAATTTACTATTAAGCGCGCTTCGCTCGCATAACGAATCCGTAATCCATCATTGTATAAACCTTTAGTTGGATTTTTGTGAGCGGGAGGAAACAACTCTAAAAAAGACTTTCGAGGTCTTCTCATTCATTACAGGGAACTTGTTTAGCTCCAACCTTCGACATCATTAACAAAGTTATACTAAATCAGTAAAGTTAACCAGTAAATAAGTTAGGTTAATCAGTAACAATTTTGGGAATGTTTTTTGGTCTCTATTGTACATATTGACAACAAAGCTCCGCCCTCATAACATTTTACTATTTTACATTTAACTATAGCTAGCCACAAAAAGAAGTCAAAAGCTAACTGCTTTTTTAACATTACGTTCAATTAAATTATGAGAATCATTTTGTCACAATTTCTCAATTTTTTTTCAAATGCAAACCATTAACTGCTTCTGAGTAATCATCGAACGATACATCTGTTAAGACATGAAAGAGACCATTTTGAGAGACACGTGTAATTGCAAGATCAAGTGATGTTGAAAATGACTTTGATCCTTAGACTGCTGTTGTCTCAAGGTCAAGGTATGACTCAAAAGGTCTTCTCAAGACTGTCTTATGATTCAGATTCGCATGTTTTTATTTTTCAAGGTTGGGCTTAAAAAACTTGGTTTTTAATTTTGATTTTTGTTTGAAAACATAACTGATTTTGTTTGAGTAAAGAAAGGCAAATGGCGATGAGTGTTATTTGTTCAAATAAAAAACTGAAAAAGACTTCTTCTTCGTAAAACTTGTGCTGGGTGTTTGATTAAGATCTTTAGATAATTACATGAGTCGATTGGAAAAGTGCCGCAATTTTTAGTGGCAAGATTACGTCACTTAAAATTTCATTTGCCATATGCAAGAACACCGACTGTTTCTGTAATTAAAAGAAAATGGTTTTTCACTCCCATGGCCTCCGGGGAAATTAAAGCTACTCTTGTCCAATTAAAAAAGTATTTTCTTAATCTTTTCCATCAATCTAAAGGTGTAACAGTTAATCAGATACTAAATAGCATGAACCAGGTAGAATTTGGTGGTCCTTTTTAGTCAACTAACCCGGGCTCGGACTTCAAATTGGAGGCTAACTATTTAAGGTTGAACTAGAGCTCACTTAACCTTGAGCCGATAACAGAAAGTCCTCAGATAAAGCTACTTCGCAGAAAAAGTTCAGATAAAAAGTAAAAGTTACTCGATGTGCATAGAGTAGGTTTTGCATGAAGCTCGTCTTCCTTCGCCAGTTCGATAGCTCGATGCTCAACTTAATCAATACTCGTTTTTTGAGCCTGATGCTTGAATTATAGGCATAGTTTCATAGCCGCGGCCGAAAAACGGATTCGGCCGCGGCTACGGATTCGGATGCGGCTAGCCCATGATGGGCCTCAGACGATGACTTAAAAAGATTGAGTATTTTTTACAAAATGGATAACTCAATTTTGACTCGAGCACGACATTTTAATGAAACGTTTTTTAGGTTCGAAAATTTAGCTTGATAGGCTACAAATAGCAGAAAGGGATTGAAAAACGATTTTTTTGTTCCCCTCGAGTCATTTTTCAACTGATTTCCAACAACCACTTGTCACAGAAGCTGGATCTTTTTGATTTCAACGAGCAAATGAAGAAATTTTCTCTCTACGTATTTGTTTTTTCGTTTTCTCCTAAACTAATTTCGCTTTAGGATTGAATTTTTGACTGATTCAAGATTAAACTATTTATAAGGCTTTTGTTGAATCAAAATTTGAAAATCTTGTTTCGAAGGCGCGAAAAAACTAGTTAACTCCAGAAAACCAAGCACCTCTCTCATAGAAATGAGAAAGGAAATTTGAGACAGGATTGATATCCACTCGAACATTGATTGGTACTCGAAAAAGTTTACACAAACAATTAGTAAAAATAGGCTACCAGGATATGAGCATAAGCGGCTAATAGGGTATCAGTTACGCTCAATAGGGTATCAGTTATTACTTTAAAAGCAGTCATAACTTTGCTTGGAGGGTTTAACGATGAATTGATCTCTCTTCTCCCCCCAGCCATTGAAAAACCCGAGGAGGACAAACTAGAAACGAGCAACACTGACAAGCTGCAAACGAGCAACTACCACATCTTGAGACCTGAAAAACAAAACTGCAAAACAAAAACACAACAGAATTATGAACACAGACGGTTCTACACAAAAACACAAAATAGCACCACATCTTCCACGGAGATACACAGCAAAGGACAACTTGGTTAGCAACCGTGACATCAAATGACACAACTCGACGCGTGTGTATCATGCCTTCTAAAGCTGTTTCAGAAACAGTCTTGCGCGCAAAGACGAAAGTACTAAACAAGGACATCTCGGAACAAAAAAAAACATTTTGACGAAGGTTTGACCACGACTAACTGGATGACGCAAAACAACAACAACAACAACAACAAGAGACATCCATGAGCTTATCAGTTCTCGACAAAAAAACATATGAACTATTTGCAACACTTGAAATGGAAGTTCATGACGACTTCACCGATATACCCTCAAACCACAATATCTCATTCAGAAAACTGAAGAAGGAGTCAAACTCTATTCTGAATGAGGAAACGGGAAAACAGCAACGGAAAAGGTTAGAACGGAAAAAAGTGCTACCTTATCTGTGCAAACAAGCTGCAGTATTACAAGCAAAGGTCACTTGATTCAGGAAGACGACTTGACAAAATTTTCCAACTGAAATTTACAGTCAGTAGAAAACACAAGGCAACGCAGACGACGGAGAAGATTTTTTTGATACAAAAATGCGGTGTCAGCAACAAAACTAAATGAAAAAAATGACCAAATAATTAGCACGAATGGGATCGCTGACAACAGAGGCTTGAATTCATTGGGCGAATAGTAAGCCATCAGTTTTCAAAACAAACCTGGGCAAACTCTGACGTTTTAATTTCTTTGATGCACTGCCAGAATCAACTTGGATGAATTTGATGGAGACCCAGCGAATAGAACCGATTGGTATAGTCGACTTATTTTTTTCATCGGAGAAACACCATCAGGCAAAGCTGAAAAAATTGCCCAACTGCAAGGACTTGTCAAAAAATTAAACTATAAGGATGTAAATGGAATTTAAATAGTAGGAAAGTTGCGACGAAGTTTTGTCCATCCGCCTGCTATTGTTAGCAGCTTCATTAATAGTCTGATTCGGCTTTCGAAAACTCTCCCAGGCAAGTCCGAAACCTTGATAGTGTTCGCTCATATTATTACAGCCATGACATGCACACTTGAAAAACTGGAATTTTCTTCCGATCTGCAACCGACGATTATACTGAAACATGCTACTGAAAAATGATAGTACAACGAGCACGTGAAATAGAATCAGTTTCTTTTTCAACAGGATTTTGAAATTCCAGTAAAACGGCATACCGATAAAACGACAGACCAGCAGAAACGAGGATGGTATCAGACTGGCAAACAGATATGAATCAAAGAACGCATCCAACTCCAATATTACTGGTGCCAACGACAAATTTTCTGATTTCTTTAACTACGGACATCAGGCGGTAATGCACTGCCCAAAACTCAGCTCCAATTCACCTGATGATCGCTGGACGGCAGCTCACTGACTGAAGACTTGCATCATCAGTTTCAAGTCTTGGTACAGATCCAGTAAGTGTGTGTCAAAATTAAATTGCCGTTCTCCGGGTTGCAACATGCGACATCATTCACTTTTTCACGAAGCTAAATTCAAAACCCTGTGCATTTCAAACTAACAATCATCTACGTAAACGAAAGATGCTATTCAATACCGTTGAGACTCAACAAATGGTTTCAAAAATTACTGAGAAGAAAACCGAGGCCATGGAGTATCTATTCTACATTGGCACAGTGGTTCTTCAATATTAGGGGCACGAAGTCCGTACCGGAGCATTTTTGGACCCTGGAATTACGCTAACTATGATTTTGTGCAAAATAGCAAACAAATTGAAGATTGGAAAATTGGAGTGACAACAAATTTGTCTTCAGGCGGCCAATGGCTCAGATGTGAAAACTTTTTAGACAACAACTGCATAGAGATCAGGCGCAGGCGGGAATGAATCGTTGACTGGAAAAACGTTTTTGTCTGGTGGATCAAATTTTCTTATCAACACTTCAACAGCATCCAAGCAAAATAATGTAGCAGTACAAACACCTGGAAAAAAAACACACCAAAACTAGACACGAAAAAAAACCATACTCATTGGACCAGACAATTTCATTTCTATCACCCTACTGCAAAAAAATTGGACCTGCAAATACGCCAAGTGCGCTTAAGTTCAAACTCGGATTGGTTCGCTCTGGACCCCATACAACTATGTGGAACACCATAATTGGATACATCATTTCACAATGTTTTTTGAGACATGTCTGGACCGGACAACAGCAGCTTTTACGAAGTAACTCCTAGGTGGAATGCAGAATCAGATTTAATATACACAGAGAAACCTGAATCAGTGGAAGTCAAAATGAGCAAACGCTATTCTACGGGAAACGACTACTTGACGGAAGATACTAGACGGGACCTCTATGGGCAAAGGCCTCGCACTTACCAAACAAGCAACAATTGGCTCGGAAACATCTACGACAATTTTAGCGAGATTTCAAAGGGAGCAAAAAGTGTACAGCAAAAACACGAAGGCACTCAAAGCGATCTACAAAAATGCTATTTACGAAAAGTGCTGGAGAATAAAGAAGTCGATACCGAATGGTTTGTTTCACCTCACGGATTTATGATTCTAAACGAACCTGATAAAATCAG